AACTTCTTATAAAAGTAATCTCAGACACGCTGCTGCCGCCTCCGGAATGGTGGCACCCCCAAACCGGTAAGGCGCGCCACGCCGCTTTGCCCACCCACCCCTGCTCGGGGCCCTGCCCCGCCGCGTCATGCCCGCCGAAATATAAATACCGTGGCCTCCCACGTCCGCGGCACCAGGTACTCTTGACTTCTTCTCTCCCCAAAACGTCGCAGCAATAGGCCTCCTCTCGTTGTCTGAGTCCCGGCGCTATTGCCTCCGCTGCCCCTTTCTACCCCTATGCCCGTCTATGCCCGCAAGATCCTGGCACGACACACCCAAATAGCTCAGACGAGCGACTTGGTGAGCTCTTGTCTTGGCTTGACACAGACAGACATGCTGTCGCTTCTACGAGGTCAAACGACTCTGCTCTCTGAAGCTGAAGCAGACACCGGATAGTCGGTATGTTTACAATACTTCCAAATCCCGTCCTGCCCTATCCTCGTCGCTAACCAGTGCAGTCGGCGCAGGTGCCTGCCGACTTCCAACAGTGCGACTTGCGCGCGATCATCCGCGAAACTGTCTTGGCCAATCACAAAAATACCTCATGATGCGTGACCGGCATGTGGGTTTGCCGAAATTGCACCCGGCTGTCACGGGCCGCGTGGGCTGAATCACCAGACTGCAAGACTGAGCGGACCAGCATGGACGCGTCACTCGAGTGGGCACGAAGACGGTCTCGACTTCGCGATGTTTCGGATATACTTCCCAAGGGGGACATCTGCCTGGTCTGGTTTCTTGCTTGTCAGAAAATGACGGAATCGCGGACCTAGGCATCCCCATTGCCATGCGTCATCGTGCCAGAAAAGCCCGTTGTGGTTTCAAGAATCAGCCCACGGAGTCTGATCAGCACCTATAGCTCCTGCAAGCAATCAATCAGGCTGATTTGGCAGCGCGGAAGAAGTGACGTGTCACTGATTTTCTGAGCTACAATCTGCACGAGTCGGCGGAGCGTGCAGATACGAAAGCACTGAGCATGGCTTGTGTGGCTCGGCAGTTACGTGATTGGTGGTGCTGAGCCTGCGACAAGGCTCTGATGAGCTGGGCGCGTTCATCCTACCGCAAAGATGACGCTCTGCTGTCTTGCAAGGGAAGGTTCGCTCGGCCCTTAGAGAGGTCGGGGCCGAGACCGCCAGTGAGGCACTGAGCAGAGAGAATTGACGTGAATGGTCTACTTAAAGGACACGCGAGCCTGAATCTTCCCTTTCAGCTGCAACCAGGGCTCAAGCCATTTTTCGAGTACTATTTTTTTCTTTGTGGCACAATGACCGCCGCTGCTGCCCACGAGGGCGATATCGTGCCCACGACATGCTCAGAAACTATAGAGCATGAAGACGGACCACGCGCTCCAACACCGTCGTCTCCGTGCCTGCTCCAAGGTACTGCATGTGGAGCGGCAGGTGAGGATCAAGACGAGGTAATATTCATTCCCTCTGATTCGGAGTCGGAGTCGGAGTCGGACAGCGAAGCAGACGAGGACGTTCCGTCTTTCAAGGCTACGAATGCGCTCATTGACAAGGAGACTACGGTACAGCTTCACAGCACCTCGCCAGGTCAGTCAGCCTCTAAACTCTAAGAGACGGTCGATGAGAGGAAGCAAAACCAACGTCAAAACTAATCATTGTGGCAGCATCGACGATGACAACTGTGCCCAACACACCACGAGCCGTTGCCTCAGGTCTTGAAGTGGATAACGACTTGAACGGAGCTGTACAACACTCAATTTCTCCTGTATCTCTCACCACGGTTTCCCGAAGGCAAGAGCCCAGGGATGGGCTAAACTCCAGTCGGTGCCCACCGAGTCTATCCGCCGCCGAGGTAGCTGAGCAGGATCAGGGGCAGGTAGAGGACGCAAATGAGTCAGTGTCGAGTCATTGTGGCCATCATGAAGCGGACGACCGTGCCGAGCTGCCGCGGCAGATTCAGCCACATGAGAGTGCCAGCCAGAACGTTCTAGCCTGTAACGACGCCGACGGCCACACCACCGATGTTGGCGGCTGCGACAGCTCCCGCGATGCCGACAGTGACAACAGCAGCGACAGCTCCGGCGGCAGTGACGGCAACGGCGATGGCGATGATGATGACGATGACAGAAGCTCCCGCGATACCGACGAGGAGGATGGCGGGCACAGCAAAAACCGTGGGACGGCCCGCTCGCCTTCGGTGAACAATTCTGACAATGGCCATGCTGACGACCCTCCCGATGACAATACAGAGGAGCCCTCTCCTAGGCCACACAAACGCCAGAAAGTCACCCATGACAGAAAAGAGCCTGCCCGTCACCAGAACTCTTTGCCTCGCTCTGCAGGACGCGCGTCGCGATCGCCTGGACGGCCCCAGACAGCCAGCATGCTCAGCCCACCGGCCTCTCACAGCCTGTCCGAATCTGAAAGCGATGAGGTTTCGGATTGCAGCAAGGCGTCAGCAGCATCCTTCGGCGAGTGGCTGTTGAAAAACGCCGCATTAAAATGCGTGACCATTGATGGGGTTACCACGTATCAACTGCAGTTCCAACGAGCGCAGGCGCATTCTTCTAGCCGACGGCGAGAGACGCGACCGCAAGGACTAGCCAAGAGCAACAAAGGAGGAGGTCGAAAGCCAAGGGATGAGACGAAAGGCCGGCTGTGTGGTATGTGCAGGAAGTCGGGTCATAATGCGCGAACCTGTCAGGAAAAAGAAGCCGACACGAACCCAATAGCTTTGGCTAGATAGAGATTTCCGAATTGACGGTATACTTGTTGACTCGTTGTACCACCCGTCTCGGCCTTTGGGCTAGCCTAACCAGTTAGATCCCCGCCACAGTAGGACTCGCCATCTACCCCGGAACCATTCTTTTACCAGCTCGAGATTCGGTAAGCCTTACAAACATTAGAGGTCCTAGAAGTAGTCCCATGGTGCCCTATTGTGGGCTTGGATGTGGTGGTATGGAATTGGCTTTAGGAATGGATGCAACGCGGTAAAGCCCTCCGAAACTCCCCAGACGACACAAGATCAAGTAGCACCTGAACACCCCTCCCAACCCATAAACACCACGATGCGTTCTGCTGTACTTCTTAGATACTACGATCATAAGGCATATGTCATGTCATGGACCTCCATGCCTGCCAACCAATCATTCGGGACAACAGTGGGAATAGGAAGGCTTTCAGTGGGCTGGATAAGGCATTCTTTCACCGAATTGTCCGCGAGGCTAAGGTGCAATGTGGTGCAGGTGGCTAGGTACACAACCACCTAACCAGGTAGGTCGCTGAACGCCACCAACCGAGGCAGCCTTATCCTTGACGTCTAGCCTTGTGAACCCCGCACCAGCACCATTCTCCCAGTTGCGGAAATGTCGACAGCCCATGCATCTGAACGGCGGTGCCTCACCGAATTTCCAGATGAAATTCTCCTGCAGATCGTAAACTGCTTGAATAACAAAGATCGCAGCCACTTCTTGCGAGTATGCCGTCGTTTCCTTAATCTCTTGATCTACGACTACCACCGATACGATAAGTATGGTCGGACGCTTCTGATCACGGCAGCCGCTCTGGGACATGTGAAGTCGGTTACAGACCTGCTTCTAGCGGGCATCGATACGGGCCACAAGGACTACTCTGACAAGACGGTACTGCTATGCGCGGCTGGAGCAGGAGTCTCAGCATAAAGCCGCTCAAGTAAAATCACCATGGACACACAGAGAGGTGACGAAAAGCGGGACTTGGACCACGACAGCTATACAGTCGGTTGGATCTGCGTCTTGCGGTCTGTGTTGAACGCCTCACGAGCGTTGCTTGATGAAGTGCATCAGCCGCTTCCACCGGCCGAGAAAGACGACAACAGCTATCTCCTGGGCCGCATGGCTGGACATAACGTTGTTATTGCCTTCGATCTGGAACGTACGGCACAAACGCTGCTGCGCAGACGGCAACACACTTAACTCGTACTTTTCGCAAGATTCGATTCGGATTGATGGTTGGAGTGACAAGAACTGAGTACTTCTGGCGAAAACCGAGACAAATGGCCCTTCCCTTGGGCCAAGGCCCGAATCAATGTTCCTCTAGCTAGTATCTTTAGCAAAGAGTAAATCGAGCTGCTCGTCATACCCGTCAGGGGTTCTCAACTTCTTGTCAATGATGTAACATCTCTGCGCCAGAAGCGCGCAAAAGATGACTTGTCCACCTTGCTGATTTCTTCCTCCGAAATCCCTATGAAGTCACGCAATATACGATCGTAGAAGATTTCGGTAAAGGCGATAGGGTGCATGACGGCCCTACCGGAGATATGTTGAAGCAAGAAAGGCTTGCGTACGATGCGCAGCCGCGTGGCAGTATCAAGACTAACCAGCAGTATCGAAAGGCAATGGGTTTACCCCAGCGGTACAACTTGAAGCAATGGTAGTAGCTGAGATGGAAGCCAACCCTTTCTCTAAGAGACGAGGCATGGGTGACATCTGGAAAGCTGCGGCAGCGGACTATGCAGCACAAGAGGCTCTGTATTTAGTCAAGTAAGCCACTAAAATTGTCACGTTATGTGAGGCAGTTAGCTGTCATTGATTCTGTTGTTGTTCAAAAGCTTGTCCCTTTTCTTCTAGATGGCAGCGCTGCCCTCAAATCAAATCACATCAAACAAACTGCCAAACAAATCAAACAAATCAGTGCCAAACTTTTTATCAAACAAACAAATACATAATTCCCGATTTGATTTGCGTTTGATACGTTTGATTTAACCTTGTTTTTGTTCCGCCTGTGCCCGCATGGGAGGCCGTAGAAGGCAACCCTACCCTGTACATCAGCTTGGCTGATAGAAAGGTACATAAATA